GAGTCTCTAAGCCTCAAGCCTGCAGCCCTGAGCAGGGCCTGGCCGGGGCCCTCTGCCCCCAGGCTCCCTGGCCGGCCTCTGCCCAGGGCATTCTTTGCTCTGTCTTGTCTTAGTCATCTCAATTCTTTGCGAGACTGACCCGTGCCTGGTGGGCCCTGGTGAAAGCTCAAAGATAGGCATCATGCAGGAGGAAGAATGATCAACTTCCTGTCTCCCAAGTGAGCCAGAAACGGTCTGAAATGAGACCTCTGGAAGCTGACAAGGCAATGGGGAAACCAGTACACCCCACCTGCCGTGGCACCTGGAATTACTCTTTTTCTTTTTTGGTTTTTCGAGACAGGGTCTCACTGTATAGCCTAGGCAGACCTCGATCCTCTTGCCTCAGCCTCCTGAGTGTTGGGATTACACGCCTGGCTCTTATTCCCACTTTTTTGGTACCCGCGATTGAACTCGGGGTCAAACTCAGGTCCTTGCATTTGCGAGGCAGGCAGCAGCACCACTGAACTAAATCCCCGGCCCTCTTATTCCCACTTTTGAGACAGCAGGTGTGCACTAGGTGAGCACATGGCGGACACCCTTCCTTGTGACTTTGTTATCTTGCTTCTGGGACGTGCAAATGGCCTGCTTCCCCCTCTTCCTCCCTCATGGTTCTGCCTCTTATTTGAACAACTGTTTTCCTCTCCTCTTCCTCCCACTTGGCCCAGAGACATTGTGAAGCCCCCCGCCCTTTTCGCTGCTCTTGGCCCTTACTTTTAAAGGACTGTTGATTTGGGAGCAAGGCTGGCCACTTCCGAGCCCATGGCTGTCAGGCTTCGGTGGGATTGGAGCCCGGGTGACCCCGAGGGCTGCCCTGGTTCGAGAGCAGGAGCCAGAGTAGCTGTCGTCTGTGCCCTGCTCCCTGCTCTCTTTGTGCCAGGGGTTGTTCTGCTTGGGGTCATCCACAGGGTGGGTCCCCAGGAGGCCGGGCTGGCTGAGTGCCAGACAGGTAGAGCAGGCAGGCACGGCTAGACCACAAGGATTCCCCTATGTGGGCTCCAAGGTAGGCACCGGCCCGCCCTGGTCTAGCTGTCCCGTCTCACTGAGCAGGAAATGTTAGGAGGCCCCAGCCAGGGGCAGGGGGTGAAGCAAAGAAGGGTGCACAGATCCCGGGGGGCAGGGGCTTGACTGCCCAGTGGGAAGGGGCATGGGTGAAAGCCATCTGCAGCGAGGGCCACGGTCAGTCCAAAGGGCTGGGGCGCTGGCCCCCGCTGCCTGCTCATGGGAGCCCTGTGTGCGTGAGATCCCTGTCTTTTTCTGAAAAGATAACGGTAACAGCAGAGCAGCGTTGCTTCCACAGAGCAGGGAGATGCAGGGGTGCAGCCCAGTTGGCCAACTGGGCTCAGCAGCCAAGCGGCTTCTGACCCGCGTGAGGGACGACTCCGAAGGGCCTCTCCTAGATACTTGTCCCCTCACCAGGAGGTTTCCAGGGAAATAGCACAAGCCGCAGAGGACTGCCGGCTTGTCACAATGCCTTCTTATCTCTTAACACTTGGTTTCATTTCAGGCCAGGGTGTAATCTTGTAGGCCTAAAAAATAAATAAATAAAAAGATTATCTTTATTGTTCAACATCTGAAAAATATAGACAGGTACAATGGTGGTGGTAAGGAGCTCTCTATGATCCTTAAAGTATTAGTTTTGTGTAAAGATGAGAAAGTTTAAAATCTTACTGTATATAAAGTGCATTTTCTTCACTAAATACTTGATTGTACATTTGCTCTTAGCACACGTTTGAATAGTCTCTAGGAGCATTACGTGAGACGACTGTGCCATTCTCAGGCAACATTGTACTGATCTTACTTTTTTGTAAAAAGTAAGTCTGTGACAAGCACAGCTTTGCATGCACCAGTCTATACTCTGAAATCTGATAAATTCTTTTTCTTTTTTTTTTTTTTTTTCTGGACCTTGTGCTTGCAAGGCAGGCACAGTGCCACTGAGCTAAATCCCCAGCCCAGATAATTTCTTTGGATTAGATTCCTAGGAAGGGATTCACTGTGTCAGAGGAACTTTTGGGGTGTTTTTTTTCTCCAGACAGGGTCTTACTATGTAGCTCAGATCTGCCTCAAGCTTACAACCTTCCTGTCTCAGCCTCCGGTGTGCTGGGATTAGAGGTGTGGGTGACCACATCTGGCCCTTTTTGGGGGTTCCTAAAAGGTAAGACCAAATTGCTTTCTAATATATGACTGTGTGATGGGTCCGTTTGTCCATATAGAGCAATATCAGTTTGAACTGTTTTGATTTAGTAATTTAAGCAAGATTTTAAAATATATTTATGGCACATTTTTAATTATTTATATTTTGATGGTTATTCATTTGTGTTTCCCCTGTAAATTTTCCCTGACTATTCTGTTTTTAGTTGTTTCCTTATCAGTCAGTATTTCAGTTGTTTCCTTATCAGTTTGGATGAAATTATATATTAAAATCAATCTCTCTGTCTTATTTATTACAAATGCTTTCAAGTTTGGGATGAGCCTTTTTAGTTTTGTTTACAACATTTCTGAGAGTTTGGAAGATTTCAATTTTCTTTTAGTCAAATCCTTATTTTCTTTGTTTTTATGTCTTTTCTCATTGTAGGTCTTTGGTCTGCCTCATTATATGAGCTGGTAAATATTTACCTTTGTTTTCTGTTAGATTGTTATGGCTTTGCTTTTTATGCTTAACTCTTTAATCCTCTGTAATTTATTCTGGCATTGAGTATGAAGTGAAGATTGCTGAAGTTATTTAATTTTCTAAATAGCTAACCAATTGCCCCACCCCAGTTAATCAGTAATGTTTCCTTTCCTTGTTGCTGTGAATTTTCACCTTATTTCCACTGGTTTTACTTACACGTGGGCACAATATCCCCAACTCTACTTTTAGGTTATTTTTCCCCACTTCCGTTACCTATCTCATACTTCTTATGCTACGATCATACTTTTTCTTTTTCTTTTCTTTTTGGTACCAGGGATGGAGCTCAGGTCCTTGTGCTTGCGAGTCAGGCGATGCCACCACTGAGCTATCTTTTTTCTTTTATGAGGGAGAGTCTTGCTATGTAGTTCAGGCTGGCCTCATACTCACAGCAATCCTCCTGCCTCAGCCTCCCGAGTGCTGGGATTACAGGCAGTCACCCCCATACCTGACTCTCCAATTTTTTAACATTGTCCCACACATTCATTGTTGAGGTAATTCACATTTACAGTGTTTCTGTTGTCAATGGAGAACTTCCTTCCCAAAATGTTGTGCTGTTACTGGTTCTTGTTGGCACATAGGGGAAAATAATTGAAAAATATTCATCTTTCATTTAGACGTTTGAGTATTATTAGTTCTAATAAGTTTTGATTGTTTGGAGAATTTTTTTAGGTAGATAATTATATCATCTGATAACTGCATCTCTTTCTTCCAAGCCTCATATCTGTCTATGTTTTCTTGTGTTTTTAGGCTCACAGAACAATACTAAATAAGTTAAATAACAGAATATTATACAGATCATTTCCTTTTTCCTGATTTTGAAGTAATACTTGCAGTCATATTGACTGCTTGATTTGGGAAAAATTTTTTTAACTTTTTTTTAGTACCGGGGATCAAACTGGTCCTTGTGCTTGCGAGGCAGGCAGTGGAACCACTTACCTGGCCAAACAGGTTTTTTTTAAACCTAGGTAGGACAGTCCCTTATTTTTAGTTTACTTAGAATGTCTTAAATGAGATCTTTATGTAGATCTTTATCTGATTTTTTAAAGTAGTCCTAAACCAGGTGTGACAGTGCGTGCCCGTGTAATCCTCGCAGTCCAGAGGCTGAGGCAGGAGGATCGCTATGAGTTCGAGGTCAGCCTGGGCTACATAGTGAGTTCAAGACCAGTTTGGACTGCTTAGTGAGATCCTGTCCCAAAAAGCAAAGCTAAACAAAGCCAAAATCCTACGGTATCTCCTTTAATGTATCAATATGGTATCTTCTATTGACAGATTTACTAATACTGGATCATATCCGCCTTCCTGGAATAAACAATACTCGGTCACAGACCATTCATGTTTTCAAAGTTGTCTTGACTCACTGACATTTTATTTAAGATTTTTGTGTTTATCTAACAGGTTGTTAAAAAATGCAAGATCTGGAAGGAGCCTTTGGGGTTTGAATCTTGGATTTATTGTGTGCCCTTGAGCAAGTGAGTGTTTTACCTCTCAAGTTTCCAAAAATGAGATAGCATTGGCATCCAGCTCAGCTCCCTGGTTGTAAAGATGAAACACAAACAATGGGTTCAAAGTTCTTCCCCATTTACCTCATCTAAACCAAACGACCCAACCCTGTGAGTCAGGCATAGCAGGTTTCCTCTAACAGAAGCTCAGAAAGGTCAAATAACTTGTTCAGAGTTGCACAGCTGGTAAATTACTGCTGCGTTCTGCCATATCCACTGTGACTCCTTCCCAGGGCTGAGACCCTATGTGGTTCCTCCAGCTGTTTGACTTCTACCTGCCTTACCTATGCAACATCCTTTGTTTTAAAAGACTTTATTTTCCTTTCCTGAAAACTCCTATGTATCCTTCAAAACCCAGGCCAAATATCTCCTCCTCTGAACTCTTTGTGCTACATCTGAAAAGTCCTTCAATTTCCACGCATTTCATGCTTGCATAGTGACTGCATGTTCCCCCTTTGCAGTGGTGTGGCTCCCCCGGGTCCTCTCCAGGAGGCCTCATCCCAACTGAATGGTGAACCCCAAGTGAGAAGCTGTGTACCACAGAGACCCACAAGAATCTAACTCGTAGCCCTTAGCTCAGTGCCCAGCACCTACTAAGAGTTCCTGAAATTGTTCTGTCCTTTGGTCTGTGAAATTCCTTCTCTATGAAGAATGACAAGCTCCCGAGGTGGTGCAAGCCTGTGATTTCCAGCGCTTGGGAGGCTGAGGCAGGAGGATCACCAAAAATTTCAGGCCAGTGTGGGCTACATAGTGAGTTCAAGACTACCCTGGACTATGTACTGAGACCCTGTCTCAAAAGAAAGAAAGTAAAAGAAAGAAAAAAGGAAGGAAGAAAGGCTTCTTCTTGTCTGAGCCTTCCCTACAAACTGAGAAGAGAGGCCGAGTTTTGTGTGCCCATTTTACAGATGAAGAGACCGAGGCTATGCCACAGCACAGCCTGCCCAAAGTCACAGAGGAAAGCAGGAACAGAGCAAGCCGCAGTCCAAAGCCCTTGACCTGATTCCTTGCTCAAAGACATTTGCTTCTAGAACAGCCCCTCAGCCTGTACGCCAGGCCCGGAAGCAGATGTTGAAGGAAACGTCTGTACTCAAAAAGCAATGGGGTGAACCAAACTCCCCGAAGTTCCTGGAGGAGGTCAGTGCTGTTGCCTTCTCAGGATGTGAGGGGCACGCTGGGTCTTGGCACCGAATCCCAGCTGTGCCCCTGCCTGGCTGGTGGAGCCATGAAGAATAAGTGGCCACATCCAGAGTTTGGCTTGATTCTGTTTTCCGAATTTAGTGGTACAACAGCCGAGGAACAGCAGCAGGGCCAGTGATGGCACCAGGCCCCTGCATGCTGAGCAGGGCCCCTCCCTGACCACAGATCACAGGCTCCCCAAGCAGCAGTTGTGGTCCAGATAAATGAGGTGAGGGGTCTGGATGGTAGTTCCTGGCACTACCAGCATTCCCGTGCTGGTCAGGGGCAGACCTTGTGGCCAGAGGACACTCCCCGGAGCAGGGCTGGCCAGGCATCCCTATGCTGCCACCCCAGGCTCTGCTCCTGCAGGGGGAAGGATGGGTGAGGCTCGGACGCCCAGGACTTGCCCTGAGCTTGCGCCACATATGTCTGGGATTGGCTGGAGAGAATGCATTTTTTTGTTGTTTTGTGACAGGGTCTGGATATATAGTCAGGCTGGCCTTGAACTCATGGCAATCCTCCTGCCTCAGCCTCCTAAGGCTGCACCACTACACCAGGCAAGAACACATTTGGGGGTGGTACTGGGGATCAAACTCAGGCCCTTATGCTTGCAGGGTGGGCGGCAGAACCCCTGAGCCAAATCCCCCGCCCTTGCTCGAGGTTTTGATTGAGCGGTCGGTTGAGCTCAGGTTTCCTGACCTGGGACCACAGCCACATCTCTTCCTATGCTGGATTGGGAAATATTTCCATTCTCTGACAGTGGGTCTCTATTACTCAGGCTGGACAGCTGCAGGGAGCGGTGTCGCAGTGGTTGGACACAGTTGCGGGAAAGCTTCTGCTCCTGTGGGGGTCCACAGTGGGGTGAGCAGCTGTGTTAGCCAATGTTCCCTGGAGAAACAACCAATAGGAGAGAGACGAGGAGAGATCTGTTGTCAGGTACTGGCTCACGGGATCATAGAGGCTGAGAAATCCCAGACTGGCTGCTCACTGGAGGCCCAGAAGGTCATGGTTCACCGGAAGGCCGAAGGTCAGGGAGCTGACAGCAGAGATTCAGCCTGGGCCCCAAGGGAAGGCGGAGACCGAGGGGACCCAGGGCAGGCGGAGCCACCCCGCCCTTGGGCCCTGCACACCAGCACCAAGACTTGGGCTCCGTGGTGTCTCAAGCGCTAGGCCTGGGAGGCAGAACCTGGCGGGGTCTGTTAGATGTGTTCCAGGCCCAGTGCGGGAAGCTGTTTTGATTAAATTTGGGAGCATAATTGCAGGGTTTGCGCTGCGGTCTCATTATGGCTTTTTTAATCTTGTTAACCTCTCTCCCCAGCCCCCAGCCCCCCTCCGCCTCCCTCCACAACCACAGGCTGGGGCCTTAGAACAATACCGGGAATATTTTCCGTCTCTCCGTCACAGCTTTCTCCTCCCCTAGGTTGGATCCCTGAGGCAGGATGAAGAGAAGGTAGGAAGAACAAAGGCAGGATGGGCGCGCAGGGGATCTAACGTGGTCTGCTCACCCGTGTGGCCTCTGGGTTCAGTTCCCACACGTCCAGCGGGGACCCAAGGAGGTACTGGGCCCAGCTCTAGCCCAGGCGCTCGGTAAATGAGGCTCCCGGGCCCCATTCTCTGGGAAAATGGTAAAGTCGGGTTGAATAATAACACGGTGAGTGGAGACGAGGCTCCAGGAGTCTGAGGCAGCAGAGAAGCAGGTAGCGTGGGAGGGCTGGGAAGGGCAGAGGTGCCGGGCAGGCTAGGAGGGAGCAGAGTACAACGTGGGCTTGGCATTAGTCAGGATGGCCCCGCTTTGCTGCGGTAACAGACAAGCCCACAGTGGCTGTGTGCAGTAACGGGCGACTTCCTGTACAGGTAAAGTCCCCTGGGCTGGGTGCAGAGGGCTGGCTCCCACTGTGGTGTGGCCCAGTGCGGGCTTGTGAGTTCCCTAGAGGGCTGAGGGCTGAGGGGCAGGCTGGGCTCTGCAGACCCTGGGACCTGTCCCTGAGCTGTCCCTCCTGGGGGTTCTCTGGCCACTATGTTCAAGTTGCCCTTCTCCAGGTATTTGAACCCAGTGCCTCCCTGAACGGCATCCCTGCCCGTCTTAAGCTCTAATTTTGAGACAGGATTTTGCTGAACTGCCCAGGCTGGCTTTGAACTCAAGGTCATCCTGCCTCAGCTTCCCCAGTAGCTGGAATTACAGATGTACGCCACCACAGCTGGTGTTTTAGGGGTTTATTTTCTAACTTCTGGTCACCAGTCTCCCTGCTCCATACTCTTCTCTGACTTGATACTGGCTCTTCAACGTCCTTCATCAGAAGGTGTCTGTCATCTCCTCCCAGCCCCCAGCTCCTAAAGGTACTTGTGAATGCACCATTAAGTGCTCTGTGGCCCTGAGCTTGTGCCCTAACTCCCTCCAGGGGTGTGTGTGTGTGGGGGTCAAATGTCACCCCTTTCAGGAAACCCCTGGTGTCTCACAGCTAAAGCAATCTCCCCATCCCTTGGAGTCCTTTGCAAGAGCGCCCACTTTCGAGCTTACGGGGCCAGGAGTGTATGCCCACGTGTCCTCTGCCTTCTCAGCCTCAAGCCCTCCTGAGAGACCCATCCCAGTCATATCCTGTCCTGCCCACTCCGCGGTGGCATGAGATGGCCCCAGACTTGACCCAAACATGGCTGAGCTAGTAAGTGGGTGAAACGTAGGGCTGGAGCTGGCAGGGAGGGACCAGGGGGTGCCTAGGGCAGAGCCTAGGAGTCAGAGCTGGGTTTGAACTCTTCCTAGACCTGGGCAGCCTTCCTGGGCAGGGGCAGAGCAGGCCAGAGGAGGACAGGAGGAGGAAATCCTGGCAGGCGCTCAGATGGTGGGAGGGAAGCCATGTGTGGGCAGCCATCCCCGTGGGGTAGGAGCTGGGCCAGGTATGGGAAAGGCTCTCCCTCCCTCCCAGGGCTGTGTCTCAGGAGCCACACTGGGACACACTAGCTGGGTTGTCACTGAACGGCCAAGGGCTGCCCCTCCACCACCTCACTCTGTGCCTGATGCTCCTGCCATCTTGGGGCAGGGCCACTGTGTGTCACCAGGCTTTGCCTGCTCCCGAGAGCCCTCCTCCTCTGGCCTCAGCCTGGCCACCCCTACCTGCCTGGTGCCCCCACCCCCGCACAGCCTTCCTTCCAGGACGTCCCCAGACCTGTCCATCCGTGCCGAGACCTGGCCGGCTCACAGATCCACCTGTCACCTTTTCTGCTTTCTCTGCGGGGCTCCGAGAAGCCAGCCCTGATGTTTTCTCCGCCCTTGAGCTGGTGGGATGAGCCCTGAAGGGGGCCTCTTTGAGGCCTGGCAGCCAATTTCCTCCCAGGTGTTCTGGAAGGAGAACATTTTCAGTGCCCAGTTCATGTCACAGAGGACAAGAACAAGTGATCAACTATGTTAAAGGAGACTCACAGGGACTTTAGTTCTTAGAGGGGGAAATGGAAGCTTGGAGAGGCCAGGCCCTGGGCCGTCCCAGTAGTCGGTGGCCTTCAGCCCTGTGCGCTCTTCCTCCTGTGTGGTGCTGCGCCTGTGTGACTTGCAGGTCACGTGAGCTCCCTCCTCCACCGCATGGTAGGTTGCATTCAAGTTCAAAGCCGCCCCTGTCCTGGTCGCGGTCGTCATTTCCCCACCACCGCTGTGGCCGGGACGCAGGGCGGGGCTCCTGGTGCTCACACAGGCTCCTCCAAGCCCAGGCTGCGGCCCTGGGCACAGCTGCTTCTCAGAAGCGGTGCACTGTGGGTGGGGGGACCAGCGCCATTGGGCCGATGGGAGTTTCTGGACCGGCTGCTGAGACCTGCCTGACAAAGCCCGAGGACACGGGGAGGGGCTGCTGCCTCCCCAGAACCACCCTGCTCCCCTTTAGGGCTGTGTTCTCAGCTGATGACAACTGAGTTCGACGGGAGCCTGACAGAGTGAGTAATTAGACACTAATTAATTTGCATTTCACAGGGGAGTCGGGTGTTAGGGGGAAAAGCTGCAAAGATGAAAGCCCTCTTCCAGGGCTATCTGCGACGAGACACAGCCCCGAGTCAAGGAGGGAAAGGCAGGTGAACGGGGCAGGCTGTGGGCGTGGACACAGCCAGGCCAAGGCAGAAAGCCCTAGGGTCCCTGTGGCATGGAGAGGTATTTGGAGTGGAGGAGGGAGAGAAACAGAGATGTGACATGTCCACATTCCTAGAGCGGCATTGGCGAACTTTCACTGCAAAGGGCCGCCTCATAAATATTTTCAGCTTTGCAGGACATGGTAGTTGGTAGTCAACGTATTCTCTGTAAAAGATGCCAACGTCTTCTTAGGCTGATGGCCAAACAAGTTACAGCTGGCCTCTACCTCTGGTCGCCAAATGACCTGTAGGGCCCAAGGTAAATTCTGCATTTCTAACAAGGATCGGGGTGATTCTGGAACCCACTTTGAATTTGGAGGGTCAGGGCCTCGGCAGAAGGTGGGGCTGCTGGCACAGGTCATCTGGGCATAGTGAGGCCTGCACGAGAGATGAACCTCTCATTTGCATGGCGACACGAGGGCCCCAGGCTTCCCAGCAACCCCCCCACCACAAGAAACAAAGGTAGAAAGGAACTGAGGAAAAGCAGGATTTTACAATTGCACTTTTAAGAAAGCTGGAGTTTCCGGACACCCTCAAAGTTACCCAAGGTTACAATGTTTTTTTTTTTTCCCTTCCGGGCCACTCACTTCTAAATTCCTAAATCGTACAGATATAATAGGCCGAGCCCGGGCCTTTCTCCTGTAAAACAGACCTTTCACCTGTGAATGGGCCGTCACCTTTCACCTGTAGATTGAGGCTGAGCTTTCTATAGATTCACAAACTATGCAGATTTCTGCAGGATTCTATCCCAGCACTTAGACGCACCCTGCTGCGGCTGCATCTGAGGCCTCCTGCTCCCTCTTCGAGGACAGAAAGGTGCCTTCTCACAATCTTGCAGGCCACACGTCTGGAGTCAGTGCTACCGCTGAAATCAGCATCCAGCTCCCGGGAGAGTCCGCTTCTACGTGTCCCAGCCACTGCCAGCACCAGTCCTGTCTTCAAGACAGCGTCCTCAAACCCCTCTGAGTCCAGAAGTCAGGTCTCCCTCCACCTGTCCCTTCCTAGGACACTTGTGGCATTTAGGACCCACCCTGACAGACCAGGAGAACCTGACCCTCCCAAAGTCCTGAACCCCGCCACGCCTGCAGAGTCTGGTTTTCCACTTATCCTCCCCCAATTCCTTCCAGTCTGTACTGATTAAACACCCAGCTCTGCCCACACTGCAGCTTTCAGTTAGAATGACCCCTGCCGCTCACGTCAGCTGAGCACATACCCCTGCACAGTCCTTAATGCACTGCGTCATGTGTCCCTGCCCAGAGGCCAGCGCTGTGCCAATCCTCCTTGCACAGCTAAGGAAACGAGGGCCGGGGGGAGTGAAGTAATTTGCCTGCTGTCCTCAGATGTGCAGCTGGGATTCCTGCCTCATGTCTGACTGAAACCTCATCACTGGCTACCATGGATTGCCTCCCGGTGTAAACCGGGCTGCTCCATGAAGCTGTTTACAAAGTTCGGTCCCGTTTGAACTTCTAAGCGAGTCTCTTATCAGATCCCACAAACTGCAGACATAACACAGGAAGGGCTGTTCTAGAAAGCTGAAAATCCAATTACAACAGCCCAGGGAATGCAGTACTTTGGAGATGCATTTGTGACCTCTGCCAAGAAGCAGGATCCCCGAGGGAGAGGGGAGGCCCGGGCTCCGCCTGGCCCTTTGACAGCGCACCTCGAGGCCTTGTTATTGTTCATCCTGCTCCGAACTGTTGGGACTTAAGAGATGGGTCCTGCTCTTGCTGGATTTACGGACTGAACTCCTTGGTGAAGGTGGCTGGCCTTTGGAGAACAGGTCTATCAAGAGAGGAGTAGAATTTAAGAAGCAAATGGGGCCAGCTCGCCTGCCTGGGGAGTGCAGGGAGGGAGCAGCCTGGACGCTCCCCTTCCCGGGTGCAGAGATGCCCAGAGCACAGGTTCCCCGGGCAGCCGGGGTGGGCAGTGTTCACCCTGCGGTGCCCAGCACAGCAGAGGGCAAATGGTAGGAGGGCACGCTGGAGGGAGGCGGTGCTGGCCACAGGGCACAGGGGTGCTGGGCAGGCCACACCAAGAGCCAGAAGTCATTCCTCAAGGCTGTGAGCACCCCTGCAAGATCTTATGCAGGAAAGAGACGTTTGTGTGTGCCACAGAAAGGTTTCTCTGGCTGTGGCCGTGGAGGGCTTGGACTCATGGGAATCAGGAGGAAGGACTGGGTTCTGTCCCTTTTCTTTCCGTTTTTCTCTCTTCCCTTCTCCTCTCCCTTCCTCCTCCTTACCATCCTCTGCATCCCGCACCCTGCCACCTGGTAACCACCCTTCTGCTCTGTTTTGTTTTTTTAAAAAAATCAATCCTTTTTATTTGTTTCAGCAGAAGAGCGAGGACACACAGCATTTGTTTTTATGCCTTGGTGTAGTGTCCTCTGGGCTCTGGCATGTCACAACGACAGAAAATGCTTTTGGAGGCTGCGTAGTATTCCACGGTGTGTGTACACATTGTCTATTGAGTGACATTAACGCTGATTTCATATGTTGGTTATTTTGGATAAAGCTCCAATCAACATGGGAGTGCAGATGTCATTTTGACATACAGATTTCATTTCCTTTGGGTGGATTCTCAGAAACGGGCTTGCTGGATCATATGATAGTTCTATTTTTAATTTTTTTTTTGTATTGGGGATTGAACTCGGGACCTTGCACTTGAGAGGTAGTCAGCAGCACCATTGAGCTAAATCCCCAGCCCTCTATTTTTAATTTTTTGAGGAAATGTCTATACTGTTTTCCACAATGGCTGTGTAATTTACATACCACTAGGAGTGTGCAAAGAGCCCTTTTCTTTATATTCTTGTTGACACTTGTTATCTTTGTTTTTGTTTTTGTTGTTGTTTTTGAGACAGGATCTCGCTGTGTAGTTCAGGCTGGTTTTGAACTCATTATGGAGCCCAGGCTGGCCTCAAATTCATGACGATCCTCCTGTCTCAGCTTCCTGTGCTGGGATTACAGGCATGTACCAAGATGCCTGACTACTCAGAGTGGTTTTAATTTGCATTTGACTACTAGCCTGTTTCCATATACCTGTTGAACATTTGTGTGTCTCCTTGTGAGCAATGTCTGTCCAGTTCTTCACTGTTTTTTGTTTTTGTGTTTTTGTGTGTGTGTGTGTTTTTGAGACAGGGTCTCACTATGTAGTTCAGACTACTCTAGAACTCACTGTGTAGCCCAGGATGGTCTCGAACTCACAGAGATCCTCCTGCCTCAGCCTCCTGAGTGCTGGGATTACAGGCGTGTGTCACCATGCCCGGCTTTTCACTGGTTTTTAATGCAGTTATTTGTTTTCTTACTATTCAGTCATTTGAGTTCCTTCCTTCTGTATTGTGCGTTCTAATCGCTTCTGGTTTTGCCAATATTTTCTTCTAATCTGCAGGTTGTTGCTTTATTCTGTTTCCTTAGTTTGATGTAATGCTATTTTCTAGTTTTGCTTTTGCTGCCTGTGCTTTTGTTTCTATATTAAAAAGAAATTCTTTGCCTGGGTCAATAATATAATGGAGTGGTTTATTTATTATTATTATTTTTTTTCTGCAGCGTTTTGCAGCTGCTGCTCTTAGGTCTGTAATCAATTTTGAATTGGTTTTTTTGTATGATCTGAACTAGGGTCTCAATTCATTCTTCTCTATGTGAATAGCCACAATTTATTGAATAAACTGTCCTTTTCCCATTGAGTGTTCCTGGCATCTGTTGAAAGCCAATTGCTTGAAGCCTATGGATTCCATTCGGGGCTGTCTCTCTGTCCCATTGATTGTCTGTTTTTATGTCATGCCACTTTGCTTACCATGGCTCTGTAGTATATTCTGAAGCCCAGTAGCATGAAGACTCTGACAGCCTTATTCCTTGTCCTCAAGGTTGCTTTGGCTAATTGGGGTCTCTTGGGGTTCAATATGAATTTTTTTTTCTATTTCTGTTGGAAAATATCACTAGAGTTTTGATAGAGTTTATATCGACTCCCTATTAATTTCTCCAAAACAGGCCCATAGGCATCTTTCCAATGAAAGGTGTCTTGTTCAGTTTCACTCATCACCGTTTTATAGTTTTCAGTGTTCAGGTCTTTCACCTCCTTGGTTAGACTTATCGCTAAGTATTTAATTTTGTGTGCAGCTGTGGTCACTGGGATTGGTTTCTTGATTGTGTTTTTGGGTAGGCAGGACCGGGGCTGAGCAAGAAGCCAATCCAGTGGTGGAGGCCACGGAGGGTGGAGAGGGAGGGAGAGGCCCCTGTGCCCAGAGGCAGGGCACAGCGACTGGGGAGCAGGGAGACTCCTGGGACAGCACAGCACATGGGTGGGGCTTTCCTAAGAGGCTGAGCCTGACAGGGAACACAAGCCTGTCTCTGCCTCCTGGCAGGATACAGACCCACAGCGCCCGGGGTGGATATTTGGGAGGTGGCTGCAGGAGGTGTCTATGGGAGAAGCCTGGCACAAAACAGCAGTCTAGGTCCATTTTGCTTTGGTTTCCTGTGCGGCTCTGGATAGTCACATTCATTTTCTGCCTCAGTTTCCTCATCTGCGAAGTGTAGGAATTGGACAACATCAGACGGGTCTTCCCTGGAGATGGGCTGGTGGGAGGGTGTCCCCAGTCCCTGGAAATGGTGCGCAAAATAGCATATCAGCTTGGCATGGTGGCGCAGGCATGTAATCCCAGCACTCTAGGAAGCTGAGGCAGGAGGCTTACAAATCAGAACCCAGCCTGGGCAACTCAGCGATTCAGCAAGACCCTGTCTCAAAATACAAAATAATAAAAAGGGCTGGGGATGCAGCTCAGTGCAAAGACCCCGAGTCTTTGCAACACCAGAGCAAAACTGTGTGTCTATTTCCCCCTCTGTGGAGGGTCTGCCAGTGTCCCCTGAGGGGGAAGTGACGTCAGACCTCAAGGTCACACCGGAGCTGGAGACCTGCTGGGGAGGATTGCTCTGAACACGCCAGAATTCCTGGAAGGCACAGACCCGGCTCGTAGGTCGCCCACACATCAGGCAGCTGGTGTTTCTCACGCCCCACGGGTCCCGCTGCACACTTGTGCAGCCATGCACAGGGACCACAGTGACACGTAGCTCTCCTCCGGGAGAGGCTCTGCCCCCTCAGCCCGGTCATGCGTCATCTACCTCGCCGACTGGGGCCTCCATTCTCATTCTCTTCCTTTTCCCTGAAAACTCCTGCTCATCCTTCAAAGCCCAAAATCAGCCAGGTGTGGTGGTGCATGCCTGTAATCCTAGCACTCTGGAGGCTGAGGCAGGAGGATCGCCACAAGCTAGAGGCCAGCCTGGGCTACATAGTGAGTTCAAGACCAGTCTGAACTACATAGCAGAATTCTATCTCACAAAAAAAAAAAAAAAAGCCCAAAGTCCACCCTTCACGAAGCTTTTTCAAATCTCCTTGAGCTGTGCTACAGTCTCACCAAGATAGGGTTCGTAGGGAAGCTGTCTACTGGGCCTGTTTCCCGTCTGTTGGGCTGGAGATCATTTGCGTGCCTCTTTCTGCTCCCGCCCCACTTCTAGCCCATGAGCCCTTTTCAGTAGGGACCATGCCTTGGGCACCTCAGTGTCTCCAAGTGCCACCCCAACGACTGGCACCTACTTGGTGCTCATCAGAAGTTGCTTCCTCTGGTGGAGAACTGAAGTGAGAGTGAGTCACCAGGGACGTTTCCTGTTCCCGTCTCAGCTCCTCCCTGGGCCAAGTGGGGGGCCAGTACAGGGGGTGACGTTCACGCTGCTCCTCGGGGAGGGTTGGGGAGGCCCGTGGCAGCAACCAGCAAAGGCAGTGCTGGGCATCCTTAGCAAAGTGCCTCCTATGGCCCTTCCCACAGCACCCCAGGGTGATGAAGGCAAGACGAGACCCGCAGAAGCTTGCACAAAGCTTCTGGACTTGCACATGGGATGGAAGGAAAGGCCCACGTCGGGGACACCTTGACACAGGCCTTCTGTCAGGCCCTGGGTGATGAGGCTGCGACATGGTGCAGAACAGGCTGGGCCGGCCGCCTTACCAGGCTCATTTTACTAATGAGGAGACAGGATCAGTGGCTCAGCTGGCCTCGGGGCCCTGTGTATGGTGTGCTGCCTCCGCTGGCACGGGTGTGGTGCTGGGTCCCGCTGCACAGTCGCCCCTGCCTCTGCCTGATGGTCTTGCCAAGCTCCCCGGCTGTCCCGTGGGTAGGGCGACGCTTTCTCTGCCCACACCACAGACTCAGAGGTGAACCGGGGTAGCTGCGTATGCCACGGCCTTGCCCATGGAAGGCTGGGAAGGGACCCACAGGCCCATGGAGCCGAACCTACAGCCAGCCAGGGGTCCTGGGTCCATGGGAACAAACCCAGCTGGACACAGCCACCAGTGGCACCATGGGATCCAAGGCTCGAGAGTGTTACCAGCCAGGGCCACGGCCTGCAGACACCCTGGAGCGAGCTGGTGTGGCCTCGATTAGCTGACACCCCGAACATCGGGCTGGAGAGCAGAGGCCTGGATCTGTGGAAGGATGAGTGTGGGTTCCAGTCCTAGGCCAGTCCCGTCACAGTCTCCTATGCCTTCCTTTGTCACACAGTCTCATGTGCAGATGAAGGGAGGATGGCAGAGCCCCTGTGGGTTGGTGCCTCTGCTCCACGCCTTCCCCTGGGGCAGGTGCAGCAGCCTGATCCCGATGTCCTCACCAGCAACATCTGGCTGCAGGGGGCGGGGCAGCTCCCCACTCTGCAGGGGCATCTGGCAAGGCCTCTGGAGGGACTGGGGTCACCTCCTGCCTGTGGCCTCAGGCAGTGGGCAGAGGCCTCCCCTTCAGTGCAGGAGCACAGCTGCCCACCCCCTGCCCCGGGGTACAACCTGGGAGCAGCTGAGTCTGTGCACACCCCAGGCCAGCACAGGTAGCAGCAGGGAATCTCGCCACACACCCGGTGCTCATGCCAGGCCTGAGCCAGCTCAGAGCACAGTGACCCGGGTACCATTCCGGCCCAGGTGCCAGAGAAACCCCCTCCTGTTTGATCTGCCTACTTCTATGCCTCCCTATTTGTACTCCCAACTCAGGTCTGACACAGAGTGTTTCCCAAACCTTCCGGAGAGAACAGTCCTCCTGAGCTCCTTCGAGCAGGAGCGAGAGGTCCGCCAAGGGTGGGAACACTGCCTGGTGCTGTCCGTGTTGGCAGGAGTGGGAGGTGGAGGACCCTCCCGGGAGGAGCTGGGACCCCTCAGTGCTGCTCACTGAGCATCAGGCCAGAGCGCTGGGTTAAAGGAAAGAACAGGAAGCCACGTCTGCTTCAGTGGGATCATCTGTGCTTGAGGAGTCATGCATGCATGCATGTGCACACACACACATGTTCACACACACGCGCGTGCAATTATTTCTCATGTTGAGGAAGTGGCTGCAACAATGTAGAACACAACCCTCGTATTTGACAGACCCAAAACAGGAAAATGACTTACTCAAAGTCACATAGCAGATTAATTGATAGCACTTTTGGTTTTCATATCATTTTTCTTCTTTTGAGACAGGGTCTCGCTACGCACTTCAGGCTGGTCTTGAACTCACTATGTAACCCAAGCTGGTCTCAGACTCATGCAAATCCTCCTGCCTCAGCCTCCCGAGTGGGAGG